CCTCCAGCAGTGGGCAGTTGCTTTAGGATACAAGAGTTCATTTTTCAATCTGTAAATAGGAAGTATATTGTATTTTTAGAATTTAACTTTCCTTAAAAAAAATCAGCACCTTACAGTCAAATGACATGCTGGAGCTCTTCCTTGACTTCCTTGTTGTAAGTTTGCCCATCCTGAAATTCTAGGAGGATGGAGAACAGGCGGCTTTCATTACATGAGCATTTGAGAAGCCCATTGTGGAGAAAGAGTGCCTCTAAAATAAAGCAAAAACCGAAACAGACAATATTCTTGAATCAGCAGTTGCTGATTTTCTGTTCTTTCTGGGCCTGGTCCAGTCCCTGGAAGAACAATGAAACACCATGAGAATGAGGAGAAAGACAATTCATCACAGAAGTCTTCATCCTTAAATTTCAATTTTCAAAACCAGAGACAGGAATTATTGGGGGAAGTGGAGTAAAACACATGAATGGATAAAACATGGATTTTTAGCAGATGGGAGAATAAAATCCATGCAAATAAGAGAGAACTTGACATTATTTATATGTTATCCTTTTATACTTCTCTGAATGCGTATTTCATTTATCCAAGAAGTCATACCAAATATTATACCAAAAGAAATCTAATTTACAATACAGACTTACAGAGTTCCACTTACGTATTTATGAGACCCTCCCTCCCTACTTCATCCCAGCAAAAACCCACAAATGTGGTGCATATTTGTTAATGCCAAACTGATTACCAAAAGACTGTTTTTATAAATAAAGAAGTAAATGCGTATTTACCTATTTGCATTAAGAAACTCTCTTCTCTTCCTTCCTCTCTCTTCAAAGTGACTGCTGCCTAAAATACCCAGGTTTCTGAAGCAAAGTCTTTATCTTTTACATTCTAAAAAATGTGTGTTTAATCCCTTTTAGATGCTTAACTCATTGGTGAACATGTAATAGGTTTGCAGAAATGATCGATGGATTGCTTCCTTGATGACTGGATCTTGATGGGTTGGTTTTTAGAAAGGAAAATAAGATTCATGTATAATAGATTTGCAGAAATGATCGATGGATTGCTTCCCTGATGACTGGATCTTGATGGGTTGGTTTTTAGAAAGGAAAATAAGATTCATGTACCCACAGCCAGCAAGTATCCGTGATCCTCCATGCTCCATTAGAATATGCTCTTGGCTGTTTCTCTAGAAACGATGAGAAATTTGTACTAATTGATTAGTTCTCTAGCTAGTCCTTCGGGTGACCAGTGTAATGCACTTCCTCTGAAGGTAGGGAATGCTGAGTAATGTGCTAGAGTTTCTTCAGTGATCTACTGCCATGGAATTTTCCTCCAGCCTGTCCATTAAAAGAGAGGTATAGGGGAAAGGGTGATCCCTTGGGAGTGCAGGTTCGAATTCTGCCACTGCCATTTGCTAGCTGTGCGACACTGGACAAGTTACCTAACTTCTCTGCTCTTGTGTATCTTCACCTTTAAAATGATATCAATGACATCTACAACCTCCAGTCGTCATGAAATTAGATGAATATGTGCCATTGACTGGGGGTGGGATTTTGTGAGTGAATTAGGGAACTAGCACAAAAGTTAACTCAAAATATATCAAACATATGAACAGAACAAACATGGCACTATAATTGGAAGACCGGTCCCAGCACTTGTAGCAATGCTGCCATATAGTATTTCTTGGGTTTCAAGAGGGTCTCAATTCTGATGGCAGATTGTTTTCATAATAAAGATGTCAGGTTGTCTTGAATGGGTCTGGTTTAGCTAAACCCAGATCAAATGAAGAAAAAGAGACCAGCCGAGATCATTATCTTTACTACTTGCTCTGGAATGTGTTTCTCCAGTGTATGTTTAGACAAACACATAGTTGTCGTAACACACTCCCGTCAGTACCTACACACCCAAGTGACCACCTGTCTCCCCTGCCCCGGTGCCCTTTTCTTCCATTTTAAAGTGACAAGGCTCAATTAAAATCTTCCCTTCCTAAATATTTAGGGCACTTCCTGCCAAAGTTCCCTTTTCCACAAAGTGATTCAGTACTTTGCCCTTGCCCCCAGACACTCTGACATTTGTGTGTAGTCTCTGGCGTAGGGCTTTGTCTCGGATTTCTCAAGGCTAGGGCACAGAGATGCTCACTGAGTTTGAGTAAGGGAGAGCAAGAGAGGAAGGGAAGTAAGGGAGAGGAAGAGAGACATTGTTCACCTTAGGTTTTGTCTTCCGGAGCTCATCCTCCATTTTCCTGGTTCCACCATTATCAGGACCATTCTCTTTCAGGCCCTGTGTCTGGCAGATTGTCCACATCCATCCTGCTTTTGCCCTCACGACAGTGTGTGACCTTGTTCATGGTGGTCCCTTTAGTTTTACGAGCCTGTGTCAGAGAAGAGCGGAGTGGTCAGAGTTGGCAGATGGGGAGAGGGGATGGGGGACCAGGGACGGAGGAAGGCAAGCAGTCCGTGTGGGACACCAGGGCCCCCTCTTGGGAACAGACCTACATGGAGAATTGGTTCATGAAGATACTCCACCCCACCCCAAACACACCCCTCCTTCCTTGGCTGAAATAATAGCAGCTGTTGCTTTATTCTCTTGCAAAGGAAAAGGGTCAATATGTAGAGATTGGTGAGGCCTCTCATTTGACTACCAGTTCTCCTTCTGGGATCACTGCTAAAAACAATGCCTTGGTGGTTGTCTTCAGCTATTTCAGAATTTAAAGGTGTGGAGAAAATACTTTCATACTGGTTTTCATTTTTTTAATTTAAAAAAAAATCCTGTAAGTAAGAAGCTTTGTTTCTTCGAGTTGATAGCCTTGTAGCTGTGGACTCTGGGATAACTACCCCCATCCCTACCCGCGCAGTGGGAGGGAGGGAGATTTAGGCCTCCTCCTTTGTTTGCCACTTTGGTTTCCAGTGCTCTGCCTTGACCACTTAGCGCTCTCTCTGAATAGCTATAGGTCGGGAGTAGTGGGCAGGAACGTCAGAGAAGACTTGGCGTGAGAACGGAACAGCACCACAGAATAGAAGGCGAGAGGGAAAGAAAGCATCTCGGAGGAAGAAAATACTGCTGCCTCGTACCCCCTAGCAGAGATATCCGGTCTATTGTGCCCGCACCACTCGCCGCCGAAGAATTTCAGGCTTCAGTGGTGACAAGCTCAGGCAATAATGGGGAAAAGAGTGGGCCCCTTCTGAGGGAAATTATTGCAAGCGCAGGAAGCCAAGATATTTGAGATGTGATTCAGACCTGGGGATGAAAATGGGGGGATGGGACATTTGACTGAGAACAGATTAGCCCATTTTTAAGGCTGGCAAGGTGTTGAAGTGGCACCATCCCAGTAAATGGAAATTCAGCCTTGGGCTTCAAGAAACCCAGGGCAAGGGTAAGAGAAGCTAAGTTCATGCGTTAAAGCCAAAGTGGGCCTCCTTTGCGGGAGCTGCAGTTGGGCTCCTCAGGGGCAGAGAGTATATGAAAATCAGTGACATAAGAGCAAAGTTCAAGTACCCACTCCATTTTACTTGGTGTTGACTACGACCTTAGTCACTTAAGTGGTTTTTAACCTGCGCTATGGGTTGTTGTTAAAAATAAGAACATATCAGGTACTAAGTAAGTGCTTATTATGAAAATTATGAATGATATGATTCAAATATAAATGAAATTATAAATTATAAATTCAATTCTCATGGGAATTAACATTATATCACATTTTGGGGGCAAACCCAGCCCTATCATGGGTACTATTTTTTTTTCAATATTTTACCTTACTCTAAATATGTTGGTATGAACAGTCACTACCTAAAGATTAAATCACTATAAGAATCTGATACTGATCTTTGGAGTACAGTATAACCTTTTAATACATTTATAAAAATGCAATTTTTAAATAGTAAAGAAAATAGTCCCTTCGTTATGATTGGATTATACTATACTTGGATTTTAGTGTTTCCATGAGATTAGGGAAGGGAAAGAAAGAAGAAAAGTGAAGAAATAGCTAATGAAACAGAAGAGCCCATATTATTATAATCTAATCTTTTTTTAATTAACATATAATGTATTATTTGTTTCAGGGGTACAGGTCTGTGTATAATCTAATCTTTTGAGGGGTTTGTGTCATTCCCAATTTTTTACCACCCCAAGAGACATTAAGATATGTTCCATTTGCTAGAGCAGGAAGGGAAATCTTGAAAGTCACACCTCCTTTTTTACCTAGGATATAACACCTCGCCTGAGGTAGACTTTGAAGATGTCCTGAAAACGAGAGGGCGAAGATGTTTAACATGAGATGAGGTACTCCATGCCCAGGGGAGAAGGTGGAAACATGAGAAGAACCCCACCAAAAAAGAGAATTTTTTTTTTAATTTTGATGAGATGAGATGAAATGGAAACCACAGAGAAACTATTTGAGAACTTTGGTTTTATAACCCAATGTCTAATTTAAATGCAAATTGACGATAAGTTGTTAGGTGGTCAGAATAAGGCTTACATTTTGCATAAAAACATCAAAGAAAAGACTCCCAAGTACACATATAAAATAATAAGTCTTTTAAAATAATTTAATGCCAGTTTATCCATGTGAGTCACCACAGTGAATTGAGATATGCTCAGGTTATCCTGCCAGAAATTTTTTTTGAGCATCTCTTCATCTACAGATACACACACACACACTACTCACTATTTACACTCATAGCTTCCCCAACCAGTAATAACCTAGGAAAGAATTTGATTGCCCTTTTAAATCATTAGAGAGCCACGTGAAATCAACTCTTGACGCAGGAAACAGGTGATCAGATGTTTGCTGCCACGGCTGATGACTGGCCGTTCTTTGGCTTTTTTCCTTCACCTTTTATGATGCCCTGATGAAATCTGATGCCAAGTTCTCATAACTTGTGTAAAATCCCATTGCTGGGTGGAATGAGGGTAAGGGGGTGTAGAAGGAATTACTGTCCCCATTACCTTCCTCTGGAGACTTCTTTGGACTGACTTCCTGAAAATCTCCTTCTGTTTGCCTTTACCAGGAATGGCGGCCCTAGATAGTAAGGCATCAGGGAAGATGGGAATGCGAGCGGTAGTCTATTACATGACTACAACCATCATTGCTGTGGTGATTGGCATAATCATTGTCATCATCATCCATCCCGGGAAGGGCACAAAGGAAAACATGCACAGAGAAGGCAAAATTGTTCAAGTGACTGCTGCAGATGCCTTCCTGGACTTGATCAGGTATGTCCTTGCAAGCCCACCCCTTTGGATGTATTTTGACACCCAGCCCCTCTTTTTGGGGAGCTAGTCAGACTGCAGAATAGTTGTCTAACTGAACCAGCCTTGCGGGGCTTGAAATGGAGGTCACATTTTTACTTCTTTCTAACAGAAGTTACAGGTTTTGTTTTCTGATCTAATGGGAAAGAGGTGAGAAGGGCAGAGAGGGGATATTGATTTTGAGTGCCTTGCTTTTAGGATTCAGAATCTGATCACTCAGTTCTCCTCTCCACTATGCAGCTTACCTTGGAATATTAATAAGTCTTACCCTACTGTCTTGCTGTTTAAGGCTAGTTTTTATTCAACTATAGCCTGTTGATTGGACTCTTCTAATGCGGAACTTGTCATCTGTATCATCATCCATTATGCACAACAGTTTCTGTCCAGAAAGGACCTTAAGGATCATCTGGTCATACCCATTCTAAGGTCTTCCTTTTATACTAGTCACAAAGAAAGGATTTGGCAGACCAGCAATAAAGGATTAAAGAATGGCTTCTTTAGCATTTTTTTGTGTATAAACCAGACACCGATTGCAAATGAGTCTTATCTAATACTTGAAACAGACTTGATGGTAGAGTCATCTCACACAGAACTGTGAAGTAAACCAGAGGTTGATCCTGGCACCTTCCTGCTCACCCTCTCTACACACCTGCCCTTGCGTCAGTCAGATCCTGGCAGGAAGCATATTGCATATTCAAAAGAATCAGCGAAAGGGGTTTGGAAAGGTACAGGCAGGGTTAAGGGAACCTACAAGGGATGGTGAAGCACCACCAGCAATAGGAAGCTTTAAGGCTTTTCACCATTTTTTTCCATGAACTTTACCATCAGGTAGGTTAGGTTAGGAGTATTTTATTATATTCTCTTTCTGTATAATTTCTACTCCTTGTTTGAAGAATTGGGATCTTGTCATCCCAAGTCTGGTTGATCCATCAGAGTGCTGTGTGTTTCTGCCTCTCCTTGCCCCAGTGGTAGGTGTATGAGTAGCCTATCCCCACCGGGCACTTGGCTCGAGTATTTTTCCTGACATCTCCCGAACTCACATTTCTATCAAGATTTATATAAACAGACCCAGAGAGCACAGATAGGAAGGAAAAGGATACAGGATTGTCTAGGCAATAAGAAGAAAAGGGACAAGAGTTGATGACGTTAAAACATGACTTTGATAGCCCACAACTGCTGGAATCTCAGGCTCTGCAACTTCCTGGGCCATGTCTCCTTGGCCCAAAGTCTTCAACCTTGGAGCCCTAATGATAGTTTATTCCAATCTTCTCTTCGACAGATAAATCAGCAGAGACCTAAATGGGTGTAGTGACTTGGCCAAGTTCACACAGCTGGTTAGAGACTCTGCAGCTAGACTGTGGCCCCTTGAACTCCACCATGAACTCAAAACACTGCTCTGAGAAAATGACAAACCTTGCCACATGGACCACAAGTTCAAATTTTGTGAACCATATTTCCATTGGTCACCAAAGAGCCTCAAAAGCTCCAGCAATTCGGAGTCGATATCCCATCCCCCAGCTGGCCTTTGGGAGGACTTTATGGAGAACAAAATTCCACAGTCTGACCAGGACATTTGATTCAGAACATCTGGTCCCTGGACACATGGCACAATATCAAAAGGGCCACTATTAAATAATACCTCAGTTAACCAGAATGTTTATAACCAAGGGTGTTTCCATTCTCACTTTGGTTCTTCCCATTCTCACTTTGGTTCTTCCCGGGAGCAGGATTTGATGAGATAATGACCAAATTTAAAAATCCCATTGTCTGGGGCGCCTGGGTGGCTCAGTTGCTTAAGCGACTGCCTTCGGCTCAGGTCATGATCCTGGAGTCCCGGGATCGAGTCCCACCTCGGGCTCCCTGCTCAGCAGGGAGTCTGCTTCTCCCTCTGACCACCCCCCCCATGTGCTCTCTCTCTCTCTCAAATAAATAAATAAAATCTTTTAAAAAAAAAATCCCATTGTCTGACAAAAGGCAGATGAGTTGAATTTGCGACTTCCCTGAAAAATATGAACAACAGGGGCCCCACATAGGGATAACCATATGTCCCACTTCAAGTCATAAAATCCACCAAAACCTTTCTTTTTATCCATTTGCTGCTTAGTTCAATACAATCTTTACCTTGGACACCATGAAAAAGTATTTAAGAAGCAAACTTATTATTTGAGAAATTTTTCAAATGACAATTATTTTCTTTGCAGGAATATGTTCCCTCCAAATCTGGTGGAAGCCTGCTTTAAACAGGTAAACACACTATAGCCACTAAATCACTTCTGAAATTCCTCTTTGGCCTACCGCACAGAGTGGGACCCTCTTGTTTATTTTTTTTTTTTCCATTTCTCTGCAATAAGAAACACTCTTTTGCCAACGAGATGGAAAGCGCTAGGGTTTTCTGAGGAACTTGCCGGGGGGTGGAGAGGTCTTACCTTGTTTTGAAGGCTAATTAGTTGCCAGATACTCTAAATCTTGCATACAAATAACTCATTGAGTCTCTGTTAATTATTAAGAAGGCCAATCAGGACACTCCCTCCCTCTCTACGCCCCCCACATTCCACACACAAAAGCCCACCAAGTAAACAAACTCCAGTATAAGACACATTTTCAACTTGCTTTAAAGATTACGGAGATTATTCAAGTTTCTGGGTTTAATTTAAAAAATCAACGGGTTGTTTTTAAAAAATCTATTAAGGGTCTTATGGATTCTAAAGGAGGAACCATATCAGAAATGGCATCATCATTTCTCGAATGCCTGCTGTGTGCCAAGCACTAATGTTACATTTGGTCCTCGCATGAATGGGATGGGTATCATTGTCTTCATTTCATTGATGAGGCAACTCATCTATGCTAATTCAGAAGGAGTATTTAATAGGCACAAGATCTCACAAGTAATAAATGGTAGATCCAGAATTCAGAACCATTGTGTTGACTCCAAATTCTATCTTTTTCTGCTCCTACATTCTGCTTCCTGGAAAGGGATGAAACACTCGCCTGGAAGCTATAGTGAGGTCCAGTTCCTCTTAGCCCATATACATGCAATGCTTGGCTCTCTGTGTTATGGATACAACTTTACTGTTAGGGGGTAAAGTTCATTCTAACTTCACCTGAATAAAAAAGCTTTGTTGCCCAAAATATTAAAAGGAAAATAATTAGACATTCTGGGTTAAATAATAGTTTCCGGACATTTCTCCAGATGGTGTCACTTCGCCCTAGTTGTAATTCCCTAACCCTTCTGCTTAAGATCTCTAAAGCAAACAAAATAAAACTCCAACCCCATGGAGGACGAACTTTTATACATTCAAGTCACCCCTATGGTTCCCCCACCTTTTTTGTTAACTTTTATTGACTATTTTTATTTTTTTGTTTTGTTTTTTGTTTTTTATTTTTTTTATTATGTTAATCACCATACATTACATCATTAGTTTTTGATGTAGTGTTCCATGATTCATTGTTTGCGTATAACACCCAGTGCTCCATGCAGTACGTGCCCTCTTTAATACCCATCACCAGGCTAACCCATCCCCCCACCCCCCTCCCCTCTAGAACCCTCAGTTTGTTTTTCAGAGTCCATAGTCTCTCATGGCTCGTCTCCCCCTCCAATTCCCCCCCCTTCATTCTTCCCCTCCTGCTATCTTCTTTTTTTTTTTTTTTAACATATAATGTATTATTTATTTCAGAGGTACAGGTCTGTGATTCAACAGTCTTACACAATTCACAGCGCTCACCATAGCACATACCCTCCCCAGTGTTATCGACTATTTTTAATAGGTAATCCGTGCACACACTGCAAAATTCAAACAGAATCCTTTCTTTAAAAAAAAAAAAAAGTCTAAGAAGCCAAAATCAAACTTTCTTTATTCAAAACCTGCAATAACCATAAATAATAAACCCCTTTCAATCCAACCAGCCAACCCCAGCACCATGGGGCTGACTATTCTACTTAGTCAGTTGGCACTGGGCAACATCAAAAATGCTGATTTCTAGCAGCACTGGGGAAAGTGCTGACTCGAGCAGATTTATTGTATTTGGTTTTGGACTGCATTTACAGGATTTTGAAAGGGAAGCAAATGTATCCTCCCAGATCTATTTGTCTTAGACCAGAATGCAAATGAGGTTGCAATTTCTGTAGGCTACAAACTGTGTCTAAGGGGAAAGAGTTAGAGCCATAGGAAAGGCTAATCAGGATGGGAAATCTACCCTAGACAATCCATAAAATGCCTAAAGCATCCCAATGAAATAGAGATTTGAGAGTTGACTGGAACAGGAGACCAAAACGGGCCAGTTTCTTTGTTATTTAGAATTACCAGCAGTATCAGTGATTGTTCAGGGATGTGTCCATAGTATTGACAGCTGGCCATGTCCTTGTTTGAGAGTGGTTGTTTCCCACTGGACAAAAAGGTCTCCCATTCACTCTTGGTAGAGAAATGGCCCAGCACTTCATGTACAGCTGCGCGTTCTTCCCGTAGACTGTAGATCCAGTCAACATCCGTACATCATTACTCTCTGATCCTTTACTACTATCAACATAAAGGCTAGGAATTCTACTCTCATTAAAATCATAAATGGATGGGCTTAACTGTTTTATATGGTCACAGTTATATACTCTGCGTCTTCTGTCTGGGACATCTATGCAGAAGCTGTTGGGAAAGGACTAACTTGAGTAAGAAGAGAAATTCCTTTATAGACTTGAGAATTGGGTTGTTGTCCTCAACTATTAATCAAGCATCTATTGATATTATCAGAAATGCCTTGATATTGTCAGAAATGCCTTGAAGACCATTGTTTTTGGATTTTAATTTTTTTTAATTTCACTATTTTTTAATACTAGTATACTAGAATTAGTATATGTATAACATATACAATAAATATGTATATATATATATAAATAACTAAATCTAGTTAACATACAGTGTTATATTAATTTCAGGTATACTATATAGTGATTCAACAGTTCTATACATTATTCAGTGCTCATCATGATAAGTGTACTCTTTAATTCCCATCACCTATTGCCCCCATCTCTTATCCCCTCCCACCCCCTCCTCTGATAACCATCTGTTTGTTCTCTATAGCTAAGAGTCTGTTTCTTGGTTTGTCTCTGTCTCTTTTTTTTTCCTTTGTTGTTTCTTAAATTCCACATATGAGTGAAATCATATGGTATCTGTCTTTCTCTGACTTATTTTGCTTAGCATTATACTCTCTAGATCCATCCATGTTATTGCAAATGGCAAGATTTCATTCTTTTTATGGCTGAATAATATTCCATTGTGTGGAATCTTCTTTATCCATTCATCTACTGATGGACACTTGGGTTGCTTCCATAATTTGGCTATTGTAGATAATGCTGTTATAAACATAGGGGTGCATAGGGGGGTTTTAAATTTTTAATATTCACTGAAATCTCCAGCTAAGTCTAGTCCCCGAAGGGCTTTGTCACTGAGCACCATTAACCAACCTTAGTGTAGTACTTTAAAATTTACAAGGTATTCTCATATATTATGCTTAATTTAATCATTACAACAACCCTATGAGGTAGAACCACTGTGGTTATTTCTGTTTCACAGATGTAAGACCAAAATGGTGTTTGGTGATTTGTCCATGATCCCATAGCATGATCCTATAGATGGTAAAGGGACTATGTGAATATTTGGATTTACAGTTTTTTAAAAGCCCATTTTAGCCATTTTATTAGGATTTCAGAAGAAAGCAAAAGCACATGTGTATGTTTAGTTCAGACTCTTCTTAGTGCAGACTCTTCAACCAGATACCTCTTTCCTGTTATGTATGATTTGTCTTGTATTTGAGTGTGTGTCTGTCTGTCTGTGCTGAGGAAGTAGTAGAGGTTTGTCACAGATTAGATAGATGCTAGATACCTTCTATAACACTATTCTCTGAATGCAAGGTAATGTATATCATTAGAGAAAATTTGGACAACAGGCAAGTAAAAAGAAGAAAACAAAAATCACCTCTAATCCCTGTTGTGCCTTTTCTTTTTTAAGTTTAAAACCAACTATGAGAAGAGGAGCTTTAAAGTGCCCATGCAGTCCAATGAAACGCTCATGGGCGCCGTGATAAACAATGTGTCAGAGGCCATGGAGACTCTTACAAGGATCACAGAGGAGTTGGTCCCAGTTCCAGGGTCTGTGAATGGGGTCAATGCCCTGGGACTAGTTGTCTTCTCCATGTGCTTTGGATTTGTGATTGGCAACATGAAAGAGCAGGGGCAAGCCCTGAGAGAGTTCTTTGATTCTCTTAACGAAGCCATCATGAGATTGGTAGCGGTAATAATGTGGTACGTATTTCCATTGCCTATATACACTGTATACAGATGCTTATTGCCATCAACATGGGTTCCGTACTGAGGAAGATGCCACCAGGCAGGATAGCCAATGGCAACAGTCTCACTTGGGTAAGCACAAGAAAATCAATGATTTTCAGGGCCTGTAGTAGCCTTGGATCCCATCTGCAAGCCGTTCTTAGTAAGTTTGCGTCCTTGTTCTTACAAGGTGTCTACTCCTTTACTCCAGGGCTGGTGGGATACCATTCCTCATTCCTTCATTCTATATCTGTTTAGTTGTAAGTGTCTACTCTATACCAGGAGTACAATGCCATGCCCTCTGGACATAGCAATGAAGAAAACAGACAAGGATGTCCTGGAACTTATAGTCTTTTAAGGGATATAGAAAAATAAATCAACCAAATGCTTTAGTAACAAGTGCTGTGAAAAAAATAAATAAAACAGCAGATTTTATTTTATGTGATGTGATAAAAAGTGACTAGGGAGGAAGGACAAAATTTGCTTGGATTTTGGCCTCTAGGAAGTGATTTTTTTTTGCTAAGATCTGAAATGACTAGGAGAAACTAGCCACACAAAGAGCCAAGAGAAGAGCATTCGCAGTAGAGGGCAAAGCAGACCTAGAGGCCCCCTTGACCATCAGAAAGAGATCTCCTCTCCTCCGTTTTTAGCCCTGAGAAAGAAATGTAAAATCATGGCAGTCCTGCTGCCTGCCTGAGGGACTCATGGGAAGTGTTATAGAATGCCAATCCACAAGTCATAACAAAACTTCCTTCAAATAAAGTTGAGAGGAGAGCACAAAGGAAAAGACTTAATTCACAGAGGAACATTGACCTTGGAAAGTAAATTCTCGCCAGCTGGGAGAGAACCCTTTGATTGGTTTAGGCCTCATGTGGGGGTTGCTTTCCCTTTATCCTTTATTTCTAATCCAGACTCCTTCTTGGCACTGGAAGGAGGAAGGCATCCATTTCTAGGAAAAGCACTCACCAACATGATTAAAAATATCCTTTGTCTTTATGGCCACCAAAGCCCAGAGAAATCCATTTTTCAGGAGCTTGTACGAGGTGGATATGAACTTGGGCACGAAGGCTGATCAGAATGTGATCTCCACAGGAGCCCTCGGTTGAAATCCTGGGGCCCCTCCTTTGAAATCCTGGCAGAGCTGAAAGTGGACATTTATCTTCATATTATTAAAATGCCTCCACCTTTCACCTCTTTTATGAAAGAAACCCATTCAAGGCTGCTGAATGAACCTCACATGTAGCTTTTCAAGCTGTACATTCGCCTGCACATTCAACGTTGAGTTATTACTTTTCTGAAAACAGGTAGTCTTATAATTTCCTGGCCTGTGTTTTGAAAGGACTTTTAAAAAGAAGCATTGTGTTTTCAACTTGAAATAAGACCTCCACAGTTCCCAGCAGACCCTTCTCCTTAAGGGTGATTGGCCCCTCTGTTTTTGGTAACGTGAGTTTGGTTGTGCTTTATTGTGCACGTCAGACAAAGGGAGTTGAAAGCGGGGCAGAGGGACCTTTATGCAACAAAGGTTGTCATACCTACGAGTTATTTTGTGTCTCAGTTGTTCCTTCTTGCCAGTCTGCGGGGGGGAAGATCACAAATGTCAGTAGCAGCCTGTGGGTGATAATTACTTAATTAGAACACCCATAACCTGATCGTGGTAGTATGTACATGCACATTATTAATTTTAGTAGCTTTGAATTTATTATACAGTTGCCTTCAATCTATGGCAAATGGTACTACTTTTCCATTTGCACCATATCATAAAATTTATTCTTTTTTTTTTCTTTTTCTTAAGTGAGCGAGAGAGAGTGAAAGAGAAGAAGCATGGGAGAAGGGCAGAGGGAGAGAAAGAAGCAGGCTCCCCCTTGAGCAGGGAGCCCAACTCAGGGCTCGATCACAGGACCCTGAGATCATGACCTGAGCCAAAGGCAGACGCTTAACCAATTGAGCCACCAAGCTCCCCCCATAAAATTTATTCTTAGAGTAAATTTATTTAAGAGTTGATTTGAAGACTGATGCTAAGTAATATTGTAAGTGGTGTGTAATGTGGGGAAAAAATAATAAAAGCAGACTTTGATTAAGAACGATGACTACAAATCTAAAACACTGAAATGGCATTGTGTGCATCTTGCTTTAACTTGAAAATCAGCTCTGATGTGGGAAATGCTTCTAAAAGTCTGGATATTGGTTCAGTGGATTCTGGCTGTTCCGGGTACTTAGAAGGAGAACAAAAGGCAGGGGGAGTTGGGTGGCATCTGAGGACCACAAAAGTGACCCAGGTGGGGTGAAAGGAGAGTGATCTAGAAAAAGAGGTGAGTTTAAAAACGTCCGTACCAGTCTTTTTTCATAGGCTTAGGAGAAAAAAAAAAAAATTGTGACCTAGAGAAATTCTGAGTGAGAGGAAAGCCTTATTATGTGCTATTTATATTTTTAAAAGAACTTCACAGTTTCTGCAAGTTCTGATAGCATCCTGGGTACAAAAAGTTTGGCAATCAACTCTCTCTCATGTTTTCTTGCCACTTGGTAGCTTCTGTGGAATAGCTCGTTGGAAATCAGACTTCCAACCGTGCGTGTGTTGCTTCTACATAGGTACGCCCCTCTGGGCATCCTCTTCCTGATTGCAGGGAAAATTGTTGAGATGGAAGACATGGGAGTGATTGGGGGGCAGCTTGCCATGTACACGGTGACCGTCATCGTTGGCTTGCTCATTCACGCCGTCATTGTCTTGCCCCTCCTCTACTTCTTGGTAACGCGGAAGAACCCTTGGGTTTTTATCGGAGGGTTGCTGCAAGCACTCATCACAGCTCTTGGAACCTCCTCCAGGTAGGGATGTACATATGTGTGGTTTACCCCTATCAGAAAATGTATCTCAAACTTAACTGTGATCCAGAATCCTGTAGTGGTGGTGAGGGGCGGGGCGGGGGTTGGAGGGAGGGAATGGTTCTGGGTTTCAAACTTCAGGGCATATGAATTGGTATTTTCACGCAGGTGCTCATCAGACCTAGTTGGGATTCAGGGAATGGTTGGCTGTATACCCTTTGGGGAGACAAATGGAAATCAGCTATTCCTTTCCTGCCCACTGTCATCTCTCTCTTCCAGCTGACCTGTGCCTGAGGGAAAGATGACAGAGTCCCTCGGCGCAGGTGTGGGGAGAGGGGAATAATCACAAACGATGCCTCACGGAAGAACCCAGGAGCAGGAGAGCTGCCAAATAACCCAGGGAGGCAACCCACGCACTCCTAATCCTGTTCCTCTATTTATACAATGCTGACTTAGTTCCCTTTAAATTAGGACATGGGAGAGGAAGGAACTCTGTCCGAAATACCAAACACGTAGTCATGGTCTGAAAGATCTGGACAGTCAGCTGACACGCCCTTTTTTAACCGTTCTCAGTTCTGCTACCCTACCCATCACCTTCAAGTGCTTGGAGGAAAACAATGGCGTGGACAAACGTGTCACCAGATTCGTGCTCCCAGTGGGGGCCACCATTAACATGGATGGGACCGCCCTCTACGAGGCTTTGGCTGCCATTTTCATTGCTCAAGTTAACAACTTTGAGCTGAACTTTGGACAGATCATTACAATCAGGTATGAAGAAAGTTCTACACATATTCTTAAGAATGACTTTAAATGAGATGGTGATCGGGGATTGGATGAAGAAACTGTTTGGAAAGGGGATCAAACCTAAACAGGAGGTTTGGGGTTTGTGGCAATAGATTTATTTTTGATATTTAGATATTTTTACTCATTTTTTAAAATTACAGATATATATATTTATTAATAATGAAATTCTAATAATATAGAAATGTAGAAGTTAAAAAAATGTGCTTCCCTGCCACCATCACCCCCCATCTTTCTGTAGGTCACCACTGTTAATGTTTGGGGTATAAAGAACTTTTCCTACACCTAGACACACACACTCTTTTTGTATAATTAATGTAATCATGCCATACGCACTGCTTGTTGCTGGATTGACTTATCAATATACCATCGATAAAACATCTAGCTCTTTCCTTTTAGAATCTACAGAATACATAGTATGGATATTTCTTTCTAAAAAAATGTTAGATTATACTTCAGTTTTAAAAGGTATTAAGATATGTTAGCTTTTATTGCCAGTATTAAAAAATTAAGATACAGGGTGCCTGGGCGGCTCAGTCGGTTAAGCGTCTGCCTTCAGCTCAGGTCATGATCCCAGGATCCTGGGTTCAAGCCCCACACGGGGCTCCCCACTCAGCAGATAGCCTGCTTCTCCCTCTCCCTCTGCTGCTCCCCCTACTTGTGTTCTCTCTCTGTCAAATAAATAAATAAAATCTTTCAAAAAAAAATTAAAATACACTTGAAAAACTGGATTAACATTTTCTCTTAGGTTAATTTTTGAGGCAGTATAAAATAGATAAGAGACCCCATTGACAAACAAGTTGAGAATTTTATTTCTGTGGACTGCTTTTTTAACTATTATATTTGAGGTGTCTAGTGAAAGGTGTCTAGTGAAAGGTAATTTTCCTTTCCATACTTTCCCCTAATTTTTTAGTTTCCTTCTCCAGAGGCAGCCACTGTTGCTTGCTAATTTCTTTTATATTCTTCTGGAGATAGCCTGCGCATATGCATGTGTATATGCGATTATAATCCCCTGTTTTTGCTTACTGAAAGTCAGTTATGCACAATAGGCCAATAAGTAAGTGTAAGGGAGACTTTAAGCCTCACAAGCCAGATCAGACTTTGTTCTTCTCTCTCTCTGTGTGTGTGTGTGTGTTTAATTATTATTAGCAATTTATTTTGGATATCAAAATAAGTCAGGTTTTTTCACAACTCTTTATTATAAAAATTATCTTACAAATGGGAAAGTTGAAATAATATTACAACAAACATCTACCTAGATCCAACAACTGATAACATTTTACCATTTTTGCTTTTTTCTTTCTCTCCCTTCATTACATTTTACGTGTACATAGTCCAACATGCATCTCCTGAGAATAAGAATCATTTTTTACAAAACCACAATAGTAAGATTCTTTAAAATACTTCCAGAATAATTTCCCCAGTTGCCCCAAAATTGCCTTTTACAACTCTTTCCCCTAGACCAAGATAAAATCCAGATTTTTGGCTTGCATTTGGTTTTCATGTCACTTTAGTCTAGTTTTAAGCTCTGTCAATCCCCCCACTTTGTGTGTGTGTGTATGTGTACCTATATGTTTATGTAGAAATAAGTTATGTTAGACTCTATATATATGTTTTGAGTTACTAGAAAATAATAATAGCTGTAGGATGCATTATGATATTAAAAAATGAGGCTGATCACGGCCAGACGTGACTGGTCTGAGGGTTCTGGGAGCCCTGAGCACAGTCTAGCTACACTGGGACTGGGAGATCAATATCTCAGCTGACCATAACCTATTCTTGGGCATACCTTGGTGTACTGGGTTGAAAAGCCCTGAGTTATAAAAAAGGCTCAGTTGCATGTGTCAGAGCAAAATATTATAATAACAGTAAGAGTGACTTTCTTTCTCAAAGCTCTCAAGGCTAGTAGGTGTTTTATACAGTGTAAGGGACCCAGGCTTTGATTCCAATATTCCTGAGGTATTACCCTCATCCAAAAGGTCCAGATGGCTTATCACCACCTTCAAATCCTAGCCACTGAGAAGCGGAAGAGGGCACAGTCTGCAAGGCACTTGATCACCTTCATCCATATCTCATTGGCCAGAATTTAGTCTAAGCTCCAAGGGAGGCTGGGAAATGTAGTCTTCATTCTGGGCAGCCATGGACCAGCTAAACATTCTAGTACCATAGAAGAGGAACAATATAAAAAAAATAAAAATTAAAAAAATAATAAAAAAAAAAAGAAGAGGAACAATATAAGGGAACCGTAATAGTCTCTTCTACAGACTTACTTTTATTAATTCTACTTTATACCTAGGTAATATTTTACTCTCTATAAAACATTTTCACATTCTCACATCAGACTATATCAAATAGGTATTTAACAGAGTCCCAGACAAGGTTGTGTGCCTTACAAACCGGGTCTACACTGCCTCCCTAAAAAATATTTACAGTGGTACAGAACTTTGTTCATAAATCATTTTGCTTTAGAATTAATATATTTAATTTTTTTCCTGACCACATGAATCATACAAGTTCGGTTTCTGTACAATCCTCTACTTGCCTAGAGGAATTATAGGAAACAAATTGTTATTGTAGCAATACAGTATTTTAGACCCTATAAAATATTTTCGGGCATGCGAAAAAGTCTGTTAGCCCCAGTGCCTTCATTTAAAAATGGCTACAATAATAGGACCGACTTCCTAAGGGTTGTGGTGAGGATCAAAGGAGGGAAGGCAGGCTTAGCATATCAGAGGGCACCTAATAAGCCCGCGATACATACTAGTGTTAGCTCAGTGGGGTTTTTCCACAGTCTCCTTGAAACTTTTCTGAAGCGTATCGTCTTCTGTTGCCTCGGCAAGTCGGACCCCGGCGCCGCCGTCGTGCTTCGCCGGCGTACTCTCTGTCGGGGGCGCGTGTACGAATGTTTTATGTTTTGGAACTTCTTTTAACAGCATCACAGCCACAGCTGCCAGTATTGGGGCAGCAGGGATCCCTCAGGCGGGCCTGGTCACCATGGTCATCGTGCTGACGTCTGTGGGCCTGCCCACCGACGACATCACGCTCATCATCGCCGTGGACTGGTTCCTGTGAGTCAGCTCGGACTGCCTTCCGGCTTGCTGTCCCAAGCGTCCCCCCCCCGGTATTCCAGGGTGCCAGGCAGCTCGGCCCACCTGCCCAAAAGGCTCCTCCAAGAGGGGCAGCGTGGCTGGCGATTAAATTGTCTTCGCCACCTAGTCCCTGCCCTTGTCTAGAGACCGAGGCGCGCACGCCACGCGCGCACGCCCTCAGCAGCCCGTGGGGCACATCTGGCAACCACCCTTCTCACTGCACAGAGCCATTCAGCGACTGGGAAACGGGCCGTCTGCAAAGCCAACATAATCAGCCAGGCATTTTCTGAATTGCACAACACATCCCCACGGTGGCCAGAGCAGAACGACAGGCCTCACACGCTGGCTCAGGCCCTCCTCCTTGGGCCTCCCGTTCCAAGGGCGTAAATGCAGCACAGATGTTCCCATCTGAACCCGGCAGGGAGAGGGACAGCCGTGCGGTGGGAAGAGCACTAGCGTCATTAAGTAGAATTGACTTTGGGCTCTGGGGAATGTTCCAAGAAAGGCACCCTCCATCCCCTCAGACCCTAATCTCGAAGGCCCATCCCTCTTCCATGTTCTCCTCGCCCTTCTAGCTGACATCTTTTCTCTCATAAATTCCCTTTCACTTGCAAAAAAGTTTTCCACCGGATGCCCAAAGTGAATGCCTAGAAGGCTCCAGTAGGTGCTGGGGTCAACTGTATGTTGCCTTCACTGGAAGGATTATGAAGAGTTGACGGGTGTGCTCGGGGAACGATAAGTGGGAGGAGGGTAATCAGTTGAGAGCATGACTCCCACAGTCACTTGGATCTGTGTTTGCGTCCCAGCCCTGGGTGACGTTGGGCAGGTTCCCCAGCCATCCTAGTTTCCTGCTCTGTAACATGGAAATGATAATGCCATCCACCTCCCCGTGCTGCTTGAGGATTACGTGCAGCGATGCCTGGCATTCAGCCCACTGTTGGGCCACAGTCAGCACTCACCTGCCATGAGGACTGTTATAGTACAAAGTTGTGGTTCTCAAAGCTTTTAGCCTCAGGGCCCCTCTACACTTAAAAATTATCGAGGACCCAAAAAGCTTTTATCTATGTGGGTTATAGCTATCAGTAGTTATCATATTAGGAAAACAGAAATTTTTTAAATGTTAAATTCACTTAGAGGTTACAATAATAAACTCATTACATCTTAACATAGATGGCATTTTTTTTGTGAAAAAGATATCATTTGCCAAACCAAAAATTTAGGGACAAGAACGATACCATTTTACATTTTTGGAAATCTCCTTAGTGTCTGGCTTAATTCAAGACAGCTGGTTAACTAGTCTGCATTCAGTCTGTTGTGGCATCTCTTGTGTTGTAGTCTTTGCAAAACCCCACCTAGGCATTCATCAGAAAAGGAGAATGAAATGGCCAAAACCATCTTTGCATTATTATGAAAATAGTTTTGACCTCAGGGGCCCTCGGGGGTCTCTGGATCACACTTTGAGAATGACTGGTATAAAGGAAAGTGAATTGTAGGAAAGAGAGGCAGAGAGAAATTTTAAATAGAAGGAGAAAGGGAGGGCTCACGCCCCACTGTTGGTGCTCTAACATGACATACATACATAGTAGCTGAACATTGGTCATCTATGTGTCCTTATGACTTTCAGTAACTACTGTTATAAACATTATGTGTCTACTATGTAATGTTGCAGTTGGTGGATACACCAAGCCGAATTTTAAAAGATGCCTCTAAAGATTTAGCAGCTGGTTCAAAGTATGAGCTGAAATCACGTGATGTTCACAGAAGCCCCGTTTTTTCTGCCCCCCCCCCCCACCCCCACCCCAGGGACCGCCTCCGCACCACCACCAACGTGCTGGGAGACTCCCTCGGAGCCGGCATTGTGGAGTACTTGTCGCGACACGAACTGAAGAACCGAGACATGGAAATGGGTAATTCCGTGATCGAAGAGAATGAAATGAAGAAACCGTATCAGCTGATTGCCCAGGAAAGCGAAACTGAGAAACACATTGACAGTGAAACCAAGATGTAGACTAACACACACAAAAAATGTTTTCTTGAGCAGCAGGTGATTTGCAAACCATTGTAAAATGTTTCCATCTGTTACAACTCATTCTGTCCAGGAAGCCCCTTACCTCCCTTTTCCTGAGTACTCTGATAGGATTGGGAAGTATTCATCCAAAAGCAAGGGAGGATTTTGTGAGTCAGATCAGATCTTTCAAGTTTATGTGGCACACAAAACTGTAAATGTGATTTTTTATAAGCTGAAGAGTCAAACAAATAGTGGGCTAAAACATGCTTTTAAATCAACTTTCAAAAGTTAAAAATCCTTCAGAATACAATTCAGTTTTAGTATCAAAACAACTTGATAAACTACAATCGGTTATCAATGGGAGAGTAGAAGGGTGTTTTTTTTTTCCCCCTTTCTCTTCTGATTTGCATCCTGATTTTATTAATAGCAGGGCAGCATGAATACACAGCCAGCACAGCTGTGAGGAGTCACATAAAGTGAAATTTCCATGTGGCCATGGGCAAGTTACATCTCATCTCCAGGCCTCAGTGTTCTCATCTATAAAATGAGTTGAGTTCCCTGGACGCCTTTACGGTCTGTTCTAGCCCAGAAATTCTGTGACATCATGGAAGAGACTGCCCTCTATTCCCCCTTGGAACATCCCATAGCAAGTATCATCCCATGGAGCATGGGACTTTCAGAAAGGATACTTAACTGGGAATGAACCTTTCTAAGTAGGGGAGGGATGGTTGTATGGTTTACCAGGTCCTGTGTCCAAAATGTCAGTTATGCAAGTCACCAGGCTGGAGGCCATTCCAGGAGTGGAATAATCCATGAAACTCTGCTCAGTTCTTCCCAACAGGGGAAATATTCCCTTCTTTCCTACTCTTCCCAAATGGAAGGGACTGCTCTGGGAAGGATGTCTCCCACCACTCCTCAACTGACTATAGACTTTTAGAAAGTAAAATGTAAGACTAGCAACTAGGAAGGGTGCCCACAGTCTTACTATGGAACACTAAAGAGGCGGGTAGGAAAGAATGGAGCATGGTTGACATTATAGAGAGGATTTTAAAATGCCAAGATTGTAGATCATCTTTAAGGAAGAATTTAAAACGAAGAGACTCTTTTTTTTTTTTTAACCTGAAGTGCTTTTTCTCTTCAGTTCAAAATCATCCCCCAAGGAAGTCTGCCTATCAACATAAAAGGTCACTTCTCATATATTTTTAAAAGAAGTCAAATGAATGAGCTCTCTCTCTAATAGAGGGTCCGTGAGCTGGGTGGGTGGTCTCTGATTTGAAAAGGTTTTTGACTATAATCAAAAGTTCTCAGAATGAGAGAAACAAGATATCTCTTTGTGTTGGAATTCCACTTACCAAATCATTCAAACCCTTCAGCAGGAGTGGGGCTTGGTTTTATTTTGTGTCCCTGAGAGAAATGGTAGAAGATGAATCAGTATAAAGACACTGCCACTGTGGTTCTAAGAAAAAAACCAGAAGGGGCATCAGTTGCAGGCGAGACAGCTCCCAGGTTTAGAGGAAGTTCATTTTTTACCTCCTGAGGAGTATTCATTCAAAGACCCGGAGTAGAGCTATCAGACAATATCAGCTGTGTTTGAGTTTCCAACCGAAAATGGTAAAGAGTGGACTTACTTATGCTAACAGACTGAAAATCTAGACATCCACCCTCCAATATACAATTAGAGATATTTTTTTCTATAGATCGTGAGCATTATATGTGTACAAAAGTTAACGGTAGGCTGTGGTGGAGTAACCATTTAATGCCAAGGCTCTATTTGGGAAATACACTACAAGAGTTAATGTCCATGGCCGGCATCTCGTGACACCAGTAGAGCAAAAAATTAATCGTGTCAAATTAATTCTGTTACACAGTGTGATCTTTTTTTATACTAACCATTTCTTATGGAAAACAAATCCTCTAGGATGATCCTCTTGCCAGCCCATCACAGGCTCTGCATCTGCATGCGCCCAGTGGGGACTGAGAAGCATTACTTTGTAGATGTATTTTCAATAAAGAAAAAAATTAGTTTTACATTATAATTGTGTATTTTGTTGTTATTCTTCTCCCTGAAGGAAAATCCATGTTCCATCCCTGGAAGTATTGTAGTGAGCTCAGAGCAACGCTGGGAAAGAATACCACGCAGATTTTTCTAGACGATACTAGGTAACATAGTGGAAGGACGAGCTGGGGGAACCAGTCACCAGAAAATAAGTGAGGACACATGCTCTCTCCCTGCCCAACTCCTAGAACCGGAGCCAGAAAGGAGAGTTGGTGAAGGAAGCACTTTGCTGTGTCGGCCTGCACTTACTTGTCCACATAAATTTCTCAGATAAATTGAATCATGTCCATGTGAGGATTACAAAAGGGTAACACCACCATTGGCTCTTCCAAAAAAGTAATTTCCTGCCTGGCCTTCAAATTAGGTAGATTTATCTATGTGATTTGTGCTGCCATTTGTGAAAAGAGCCAAATAAGATCTCAAGGGATGTTTCAGAAGCAGCCCCTGTGCTCGGGAACGCCTTCTATTCATAAAGAACAACTTTTGGACTACTGCTTTTCCCCTCAGGCTTTTAATAAAGAATTGGCAGACGATAATATGGAATGCCCAGGTTGAAGTTGTGTGTGGAGACTCTTTAATCTGACCCTCTCTCTACCTGTAGGCAACAGAGGAGAGGTTCTTAAGTAGGGTCTGTAAACCCTTACGTCATCCTTGTGAAGACTTGAATGAGTTTGCCTTGAAATTGTGGGGAAGGTTTTGTGTGTTTGTTTTTTTCCTGGGGTTGACGTTTTAATTTCCATCTGTTTCTCTGAAGGATTTTTTTTTTTTACTGAGAAAAAATATAAAACTTTATTGCAAGACTGTGAGAGACCTCAATGAATGGACAGATATGCAATATTCTTGGATAGAAAGATTTAATATCATGATGAAGTTAATGCTCACCAAACTGATCTTTAGATTCACTTATATACTTTTCAGATTCCCAAAATATTGTTCAGAGAAACACGCAAAAGGAAAACAGCTAGGAAGAGGAAAGTTAACACAAAAGTCAGGGTAGTCTGAAGGATCTTTTGGCCAAAAAATTTACAAATCGCTCTTTGATCAGTACATCCTTTTTTTCAAGGCATCTGTGATCTTCAAATAGTTGGTTGGGGAAGTGGAAGCAGACTGCTCACAGTCTGAGGGAACCAAACCAGCTCTGGCCACCTTGAGGGGATCCCAGTCTGTATGTAGGACATTCCGGACGCAAAAGCATTCAGGGAAGTGCTTCCTCCAGCAGTCACCAGCCTTTTTCTCACTTCTGCCGCTTACGCTGGATTTTGCCCCGCACCCTGAACCCCTCCACAGTGCAGGCCTGAGAAGCTGGTCGTCAGCCTGTGGGAGGTCTGCGGAAGCGCCATTACGGGTTGAGGGATATAGCAGCTCTGTCAAGGTGGGACTGTATGGCCTGTTGGGAGTGGGGGGCGGGGGGGCGGCGGCGCAGAAGATGATGGAGAAGGGAACAGATCTGTTCACAAACTTAACTGAAAATTTTTCGGGTGAACTTTTTAAAAATGTTTCTGGTAAGTGAATACATTTCTAACAAAATTTTTAAATCCTCCGCTTTGAGAAGTTGGGGTTCTGTGTGTTCCCTTTCTCATATTTATCCCTTCAGCACCACTGGCTCGCCCCCAGCAGGGTTCCCTTTCCCAAGTTAAATAGTTTCACTCTCCAAATAAAACCCTTTTTTGTAAGTCTTTTTTCATACACACCATGCTGAAAACAGGGATTTTAGTGCTGTTAATTGCGCGGGTCTGAAGGGAGCTTAGAGGAAGCGCTGGGAGCCCAGTGCAGAGCATCCTGCGGGGGAGGGGAGCGGGGGGGGGGCGGTGCAGGGAGCCCTCTTTCCGGGCGGCCGCTGGGCACTTGACCCGAGGCTGCTGTCAATCATCCGGCCTCCGCGGCGGCGCGCAGTCTCTGTTCCCACCCGGGTGGTCCCCGAGCTGGGGCAACAATGACCAGCTCTGTGGGGCCTGTTCCCGGGGGCCAGAACAGTTGGGAGGTGTCACGTCGAAGGCAGGCTCCGAATGAATAAGCCGACGGAAAAAGAGCAAGACAGCAAAAGCGAAGGAAGCTGATGGGCAGCTTCTAAGAGGGAAAGTGGGAGATGAGGATTCTCCGCGATAAATGAGGCAGGGGCTGGGGGGTGCGATACCCACGACAGCCACCAGGGGGAGCCCGGAGCTCTTTGCGGGGCGGCGGGGGTTGGGGGGCAAGGACCGAACTTCCTCTTAAAGAGAACTCGCTTGATAAGCACATAAGGAATTCCAAGGTCCGCAGAGCAGAGGGAGGATAAATATGAGAAAGCCATCAAGCTGTTAAAAAATTTTTCAGTGCCCGCTTTTCCCTTTTCTCTCTAGTCACCCTGCTTCTCCAAGAGTCTCTTCCAGGAACCCCTTCCTTCCTGGGCATTATTCTCCGTTTTGTCTCCTTGTGCCCTGCCTCTCTCCCCTCCCAAAGTCTTTTTTGCTATCCTGTTCTGAATTCTCATCTTCCCATTCCATCACTTATGTTTCCCCGGCACAGACAGGAACTCAGAAAGCTGTAACCTTTTCCAGCTGATCTTCCCTCATCACAGCCGCAAAACTCTTGTCTCAACCTTCAGTTTGGAAAGTCAGATTCTACGGAATCTGCACATACAGGGTGGTTGAATAAAATTCAAGAGATCCAGTTAAATTTGAATTTCAGATAAGTAACAGTGTTTTAGTGTAAGTACTAAATAACAATGTTTTAGTGTAAGTTCATCCCGAAACATTGCATAGGGCAACCTGTATTTTTATTTAATCTAACAACCTACATATAAGCGAAATGAAGAATTCAAGACAATTTGTTTGCCTCAATCAAGTGATGCTGTAGATAAAAGTTTGTGTGATTTTGTTAAAAATAATCATCCTAATTTTTAATTTCTCTCTACAAACAAAAACACTGATTTAAAAGGCAGTCCAGATCTGGGACATTTCCTGCTGTTTATTTGCTCTGGGGACATTATCACTCATTATGTGCTTGTAAATCTAGTGGCTCCATTTAAAAAGCCTGATCAATCACCTTTAGGACTTCACAGACTAGTCTTGGGGCGCCTGGGTGGCTCAGTCCGTTGAGCGTCCAACTTGTGATTTCAGCTCAGGTCATGATCTCAGGGTCATAGATCAGTCCCTTTATTGGGCTCCCCGATCAGCAGGGAGTCTGCTCCGGATTCTCTCCCTCTGCCCCTGCATCTCCCACCCCACAATCTCCTTTAAAAAAAAAAGATTTCACAGAACAGCCTTAAATACATTAAACAGTATTTCAGATATCTATGCTTGAAATATTTTAAGATTCACATCTGTCTTTCTTTTCTTCTCATTCTTTTTTGTTGGTTTTTTTGTTTGTTTGTTTGTTTGTTTTTCCTTTTTCTCACTCCTTCCTCTTGACCACCGCCCCTTGCCCCAACATAAAATATTTTCTGGAATCCATTTCAGGGCTGAAAATTTTTTTTCCAATGGTGAACACATTTTTTTCATTTGGGGTGCTCCTTTTAGGAAAGTGCCCATATTTTTTTCATATTGAGCTATTCAAAGACCATCACTTTCCAGTCATTGTAAAGTTGGGAATGAGGCATTTTTCAAAGCTTCTTCAGGAAACCCCAGCCTCCAAGGATGGGCATCATTCCCACAAAAGCCCCTTCTTTAAACCACAGGCTGAAGCATATGAAAAGCAGGGCCCCATGGGTACTGCAGAAGGACAAAATATGCCCCTAAAAGCCATAAACTCTTTCCCAATCATCATAATGCCTATGCGCATGTTAAAGATAGCACTGAGTCTTTGGAAAATGGTGTCGGATGACAACTTGTGAATTTCTTTTTCAACTCTGTAGGTTCAAGGGATCATAAAAGGCCTGAAGGCAGCCAGCCAGGAGCCTGCAGACATGGCAGGAGGAAATAAAGACCATCCAGGGATCAGCTCAGCCATGAAAGGAACTGATGATGGGTCTGCCCTGGGGAGAACTTAGCACTCACAGATTCTGTCAGCAACACCAGTCTGAAAAGTGTCACCAAATTCCACTGCCTTGGCACTGCAGGGCCTCTGTGAAGCCTTGTGTCATTTAAGTTGATGGTGATCTATTAGCCAAAGAAGTAGGAAACAAACTCGAGAAAGTCCACAAGTGAGTTAGAAAACTAAAACAACTAGACTAAAAATAGCTTCTTGCGTCCTAAAACCTGAAGGCCTCTTCAGAGTGGTGGTTGCCTGCAAACTTGTACACAGTGCTGGGCAGAATCCACACTTGCTACACCTGAAGCCTTGAGCATTGTCACCGGGGGCCCTGCCTCCTCCCCGTTAACCTGGACATAATCCACTGACTTCGTGGTAATGGTAGTTCTAGAATGGCTTCACCAGGCAGGTGGAGCGGAGAGCAGACTTAGACAAGAAAAAGGAGTTTTAGCCTCTCACTTGCTTTCAACCAACTGTGGGACCTTGACCTGATCCTCCAGTGCCCTCAGCTGTACATGTGGGGGGTTGGATGAAACCCATCATCTTCAAAACAATGTTCCTATCAAGTTTCTGCATATTGGCAGAAGTGTCATAAGGGGGTTCTGTGGTCAACTAAGCTTGACAAATGATAAATTAAACTTCAACTTCCTCATCATAAATGAATATAATGATACCTTTTTCATGAGGATGTAATGAGAATTAAACAGATGATAATAGAACACCACCAGCGCAGTTTTGGGCACTTAGATTCTTAAGATGTTTAGAACAAAACTGGCTCGGTGAAGGCAGAAGAGGGGGGGGTGATGCTGGAGAAGGGGAGAGTGCCTCCCGGCCCCATGTGGGCCCACTGAGAGCAGGACAGAACTCCCCGAGGAGGCCAAGAAGCCAGGAGGCTGAAGACCTACATCTTCTGGGAGGGGGGCTGTGCAGAGGCCCGTCACCCCTGGAAACTGGCACCAGGAGAAACCCGCAGGCCTCCTCCCGGAGGGGGCCCGGGCCTGTGCGCTGGGGCGGACCTGCAGGCCTGCCAGT